TTGTGACTTTCTTGTGTCACCAGCCCTGAAGAGATGGCTCTGTCAGACTGCCCCCACAGCTCAGTTAACTCCTTATGATACATTTCTGGAAATGGAATGTCCCTGCCAGATGAGCCCTGTGTTTGTTCAGCTTTTGATACAAATACCGGACCTTCCTTCTGCCCCCAAATGATGTATGTGTTTATGTGTATGATATATTTCAGTGAGTATATATGTATGTGAGTGTGGTGTGTGTGTGGTATATGTGTGTGCATGTACATGTGTGGGATGTGTAATGTGTGTCTGTGTATGGATATGTTTGATGTGTGTTTGTTTGTGGCTAACAATTGTCTATATGACTGTAAATCCAGTTCCAGGGGTCTCTTCTTGCCTCTGTAGGCATTGTATGTACATAGTGCACCTACATACATGCAGGCAAAACCCTAATACACACAAGAATTACCTAAAAATTTTAAATAGAGGTCTCTCCATCTTTTGCCACTGGAGAAGCCTCCTCTGTAGTGTGCTGTGTGCATGTGTGTCTATATGTATATGTATGTGTACACATACATGTTTTGAACTTTCTCATTTTTAAATATTCTATTTATTATTTTTATGTGTATGTGTGTACTGCCTGCATGTAGGTAAGTGCACCAATGTCGTGCAATGCCCTCAGAGGACAGAAGGGGCTGTTGGATCCATTGTTAGCTGCCATGTGGGTGCTGGGATTCGAACCCGGGTCTTCTGCAAGAACAGCCAGTGTTCTTAACTGCTGAGCCATCTCTCCAGCCCCTGAACTTTCTCCTTTTAGCCATTGTCTCATTGTTTTAGAAAATATTTTTAAAAATATTTTATTTATTATTTTTATTTTATGTGTATGAGTATATTACCTGCATGTATGTGAGTGCACCTGTATCATGCAATGCTGTGGAGGTCAGAGAGGGCTTCGGATTCCCCTGGAACTGGGGTTAAGGATGGTTCACAGCCACCACGTGGGTCCTGGGAATCGAACCCGGGTCCTCTGCAAGAGCAGTCAGTGCTCTTAACCGCTGAGCCATCTCTCCAGCTCCAGTTTTATAAAATATTTTAATGTCTAGCATTGATGTTCCACTATCTACCTAGAATTTCCTTGTCTATTCCTTCATGTTTATTCCTGTGTTGTGATGTGAATATGGAATGTGCCTGAAGGCTTGGTCCCAGCTGGTGGTGCTGTTTGGGGAGGTACTAGGAGCTCTAAGGAGGTGGGGCTTTGCTGGAGGAAGCAGGTCACAGGGGGCAGACCCTTGGGGGAATGCATTATGTCCCAGGTCCCTCTCTATGCTTCCCTGTCTGCTTCCTGACCATGAGGTAAGCAGCTTTGCTCCTACTACATGGCTCAGTCCCACCTCAGGCCCACAGCAATTAAACCAAGTGACTGTGGACTGAAACCTCTAGAACCAAGAGTCAAAATACATCTTTCATCATTGAAGTTGCTTCTCTTGAGTATTTGTCACCGTGGTGAAGAATGACTATGCCTGTGAAATTCATCAACTCTTTTTAAAAATTTTATTGAACTTCTGTGCATTTCATACAAAATATCTTGATCATATTTAGACCCTCTCCCCTCCCCTATTTTCACCCTCCAAGAGTCCCCCCACTGGATTTCATACATCCTGTCATATATGTTAAGGCCTACTGAGTCAAATTTGTGTTCCCAATGTCCCTCAGGGTGAGTCCATCCACTGGAGCCTTGTCAACCCATCCAGCATCACTCCCTTAAAGAAGACTAACTCTCCCCCATCCAGCAGTGATCTGTTGCAAATAGTTCCTCACCTAAGTTTGGGACTTCTTACCCATTTCCCCACATCTACGCTGGGTTTTTGTCTGGTTTGAGTTTGCATGGGTCTTGTGCATGCTGTCACCATTACTGTAAGTTCATCTGAGCAAGTTCCCAGCCTCCTGGAAAACTATGTTTCCTTGTGGTCATCCACCTCCCCTGGCTCTTACAGTCTTTCTACCCCCTCTTCTGCAATGGTCCCTGAGGCAGAGGTTTAATAAAAAAACAGTCCTATCCAGGGACACACACTCTGTAGTCTCTTATTCTTTACATTTTGGCCAGTTGTGGCTCTCTGTGTTAATCACCAACAGTTGCACAAAGCTTCACTGGTAAGAGTTAAGAGATGCATTAATATTCTCTCCACACCCTCTTCTGCTATGCTTCCTGATCCTCAGCTGTAGAGGTTGCATTATAGATGTGTTAGAGCTGGGCATCTCACAGACACTTAATTTTCTGTGCTTAACTAGTTGTGGAACTCAGTCATAGTGTTCATCTTTTGCAAAAATAAGCTTCTTTGATGAGTGGTGAGAGGTGTACTAATTGTAATTATAAGGATACATTCTTAGCATACAGTAAGAAATTACATTTGTCTAGAGTTTGACAGACATAGGTTTTTCTCTAGGATCTATGACCTCTCAAGCCATGTATATTTGGCTACGTTTACAGCACCACACATGAGTTCCCTCCCATTGAGCAGGCCTTAAGCCCAATTGGATAATTGTTGATTACCCCCAAGATAAAAGTGCTACTACTACATCAATAGAGAGTTTGCTATGCTAGTCATTGTTGTAGTTATTAGACTTTACAGTGGGGTTTTCTCCCTTTCATAGTGTCCTTTTTTACCATGAGAGCTAGTCTTCAGGAAAGAGGCTTCCAGGTCATTTCTAGCTCCATTGCTCCTCATCCTGTGTCCTAAGTATGTCCAGACTTCAGCAATAGGGTCTTACCTTCAAGTTCTGGAAGGAAATCAAGGGCTGTGGCAATAGCCTGTGTTATTTTGGGAGTCTCTTGGACTACCCTGGCCAACAACTAGAAGAGAGGTTGCTTTTGTCTGACACCGTGTTTCTCATTATACAGCCTTCAGTTATACACATGCACTCAGGTACAGATATTGTATGTGTATTTTTCAGTAGGCTTTTGAACTAGTACATTTCCCTCTGGTTTTTGACACCACCTAAGCATTATTTATCGCCACTCTCTCTCCCCCTGTATAACATTCCCTCCTCTTCCCCAGTTAAATTACCTCCAATTTTCCCCATTTCCTCCTACTATCCCCCTCCCTTGAACTCCTTCTTCCCCTTTGCCCCCATGGTTCCTTGTATAACCCTTTCTCCTCCCTTCCTAGCTAAATACTCCCATTTCCCCCATTTCCCCTTGATAATACTGTCTCCCCCTCTTTTGAGCTCCTTCTTCCCCTTTCCCCCCATGGTTCCCTTCTGTTTTCCTGGCTCCTGGTATTACATCAGGATATAGACTCACATCTAAGGATTTGGAGCTAAGATCCACAAATGAGAGAGAACATATGTCACTTGTGTTTCTGAGTCTGTTACTTCACTTAGAATAACAATTAATCTGCAAATTTCATGATTTTGTTTTTCTTTACCACTGAGTAGAACCCCATTATGTAAATGTACCACATTTTCACTATCCATTCATTCATCAGTTGGGGGACATTTAGGTTATTCATCAACTCCTTAACAAAAATCCCATTTCACCTGTCATGGTTGAATTCATGTGATACCACACAATGGTGTAAAGTCATCACCCTGCTTGTTCATGGTGGTATTGACCTGGTGAGCTACATGACACTATTTTTGATGGAAGGAGTGAGCAGCACATGACCAAAGGGGCATTGGTAGGAGTTCCTTAGAGAAACAGACTAACCAGACCTAGGTGGACATAGGCCAGACCCAGCATAACAAAGAGATTCACACCTATGGATGGTGAGAAGCCCCAAGGTCTGCATCAGTACCTGGAACTCAGAGAGCTATGGGTACAAGTTCCAGTTCGAGTTCTGTCTGAAGACTGGCATGCTGCTTTCCAATCCCAGGGGACAGACTGAGAGTAAATTCCTCTCCCCAGCCTGTATCCTCTCTTGGCTCCAGCAAGTGGCTGAGGATACCCTACTGTACTCAACATGAAGGCCTAAGGCAGCTCTTGCCCAATACACCTCAAATAACCTCAAATAACAGGCATAGAGAAGGCAACATATAAAATTAGCCACCTGGTAGCTCAGCATGGGACTGGAATGAAGACCTACCCTAGAGCCTGGGAGAACTAAGGGTGAGTGAAGAGAAATGACTAGAGTGACCACATACTTCCTGTTCCCAGAAAGCCAAAGTATGAAATCCATTTCTTCTGCAGAGATGCAGATGGTGAGGGTCTTTGGAGTTTATTTGCTGAGAGAGCAGCTGTTATACTTTCTATTGGGATCATGTGTTTTCCTAGGACACTGGAGACTGCATATGTTAGTTACCTTCACATCTCTGTGACTAAAATACTTAACAACAACATCATGAGTGAGCAAATGCTTATTAGGATGCAATATTGGGAGTCTCAGTCAATTATGGTGATGCAGGAATGGTAGCAGGGGCAGTCTATCTATGGTGTTAGGACCATGAGATGGGTACTCACATCATAGTTGACTGGGAAGCCGAGAATGCAGCTGGAAGCAGGGGCTGGGTTATAACACTAAAGAGCCACCCCTAGTGGACTACCAAAACAGTACCACCCACTGGGAAGAAAGTATTTAAAACATGAGCCTATATGTGTGTATGAACATTTCAGATTCAAATGGCATCAGAACCTTTGTGAAACTGGTGCCCTTTTCTAAATCAGCAGTGACTCTGGCCACCTGGGTATCTAGGGGGAGGTGGTTGTTGAAAGTCACCACACAGAACACTAAGTGGGGTGGATGGGATCTAAATCTGTAGTCATACAACAGGCAAGAGAAATCAAACATGGTAGGAAATCCCAAAGGAGAGGCAGCCTCATGCCCAGGCCTTGTTAGATATGGCCATGACCTGTGGTTTCTCCTTGGACACCTTACCTTGAAACAAGCCCCAAGTGGCCAGGCCCCTGATAACTTCAGCCCCCAGTGGTTCAACTTCCCTCAGGTGTCATGTTGGGGTCTGTGAACAGAGACACCCAAGCGTGATGGGTGGTCCCTGCAGTCTCTGACCAGGTCCCTCCCCCACCTCCCCAGGTGTGGCAGTGTGGGGGCAGCATGGAGGTGCTCCCCTGCTCCCGAGTGGCCCACATCGAGCGCACCAAGAAGCCATACAACAATGACATTGACTACTATGCCAAGCGCAATGCACTGCGGGCTGCTGAGGTGTGGATGGATGACTTCAAGTCCCACGTGTACATGGCGTGGAACATCCCCATGACTGTAAGGCGGGTTCTGGGCGGGGGATGGACAGACACAGGAACACTCATAGCTTCCAGGGAAGCATCAAAGCCAGAGCCTCAGGGATCCTGGGACCATAGGCAGGCAGCCTCTCCTGGGTGCCGGGGTCTGTGGAAAAGGGCTTGCTCTCACTAGACCAGCCATGGGGACCACACCTTTCTCAAGCCTGTAGATAATTTTCACAGGCTACAAGTAACCACCACAGGTTGGAAGTGAAGGAGGCCACCCATGCCCTTAGTCTTGCCTCAGCATTTCCATAGCAGCCACCTCCAACTGGTCCATCCCTGCATCATGGAGACCCATAGTCAGGACTAGACCTTGCATCCTTACTCAGTGCACATGTGTGCATGCTTATATTTATGTATTTATTTTGGATAGGGTCTCTCTGTGTAGCCTGAATTGGCCTTGAGGTCACAGTAGTGTGCCTCTACCTCACCTGTGTGGGAGTTACAGATATACTACACAATGCCTGGCCTGCTTTGCATTTTTGAATTTCTCTTTGCATCCTCCTAAATTGACTCACCTCTACCAAGGCAGCATGCCCAGCATTTGATAATGTCATCTGGAGCAGCTGGACAGGACCATGCCCTTGCAACCCTGCTGAGATACACAAGGCTGGCCACCTTAACCCAGGACCTGCAGGGTGCCCTCCCCAGGTCACCCCTGGCTACCTTAACCCATGTAGGGTCCCTTCCTGGGGAAACATGTGGACAGTGCTCATCCCTCCCAGCACTGACATGTGACACCTGCCTAGTGCAGCCACTCTATAGTTCCCTAAGCCTCTGTGTCTGGGGCTCAGTTGTGTTGACAGCCATCTAGCACCCAGAAGCAGACAAGCTGAGTCAGGATGACATCATATAGTCCAGGGCCCCATCATGAGCCTCACTGAAGCATAGGCAAATCCCACACAGATCAGGCAGAAGAGTAGGGCAGGGCAGGTGTAGATAAGCCAGGACCCTCTGTGGGCTCTGGGTCAGGAACCACAGATGAGGCCATGGTGGCCCAAGGCTGCAGGTGGAACTGCTTTCAGAGATAGGGGGCCCAGGCCCCTGGAGTCCTCCTCACGGGCAGAGACCTGACCATAGGATACCATGGATCTGCAACATTCACACCTTCCTGTCTGCTTCTGCCCCACAGAACCCAGGGGTGGACTTCGGGGATGTATCCGAGAGGTTGGCTCTGCGCCAGAGGTTGAAATGTCGCAGCTTTAAGTGGTACCTGGAGAATGTGTACCCTGAGATGAGGGTCTACAACAACACCCTCACATATGGAGAGGTACTGCCTCTGCACTAGGGCCCTGCTGGGGTGGCTTTCTGCCCAGTACCCCAGCATCTATGCCTAACACCTATACTCTGACACCCCACACCCTAACACCCATGCCCCAAGATCTTTGAAAACCCTTGGTCCAACATCCCACACCCTAACATCTCGTGTCCTGACACCAGACCCTTACTTGCACATATATGTACACTCTCATATACATTCTCAGATATTCATGCCACAAAGGACATAGGTGTACTCATATGTTCATGAATAACACCACTGTTGAGTCCACAAGGAAATACACACATTTATTTGCAGAAATATACTCAAACAGGCCTGTGTACATGCTTGAATGTGTACATATGCACATTCACACATGTACTTACATGTGTATTTGCAGACATGCAGTCACACACACTGATAGATACCTAAATCCACATGCATGGATGCCACATACAATCACACATATGTACAAATACATGCATATGTTAGCACACATTCATGTGATGTATACACATTGTTACCCTGTGTGAATATTCATATACATTCATATCCAGGTGCATATGTGCATGAATTTATTCATACACATGAATTCATACCTGTGTGCATGCATGTACTTGTTTATATGTATGTGTGCAGCCTGTACTCATTCGCTGACATGCACAAGTGTAAATTTATGGCACGAATGTCTGTGCATGAGCCCATACAAGTACACACTGAGGTATATGTGCACATATGAGTACATATGTGTCCCAATGAAAGTGCCTGTTCAGGTAAAACTTGTCAAGGCAGAGTGATAAGTGAACTTGTGTGTGCACACTGAAGTGCACATATTTGTGCTCTGGTGCCACAGAGCTATGTCCACACCACAATGCATGCATATATGAACACATGCAGATGCACACATTTGAGTGTTAGCACATCAAGTGCATGAAGTCCCGTGTATCACCATGAATTTCCAAATGCACAGCTGTGCACAGGGCTTTCTCCAAAGCTAGGGAGAAGGCACTGTGTTTCTGCCTTGTCCCAGCTCTGGAATCTGGAGTCTTCCACCACAGAGCCAGCGCAGAGAGAGAAGGGCATCCTCACAGAAAGCCGCAACCTTCTGTTCCCCAGCTCCTCAGCTGCACGAGGGCAACCTGACACCCCCCTCTTGGGGAGGTGGTGTAGACATTGGCTCAGGGTAGGACAAAAGGGGCTTGGTGGGTAGTCCTTGCAGATACACCCATCCCTAGAGCTTGGTCACTCCTAAGTCAGTCCAGTCCCTTGGACACACAGCTTACCTGGAAGCACCAGGTGGAGCAGCTGCTGTCCCAGCTTGCCTGTGCTGCCCTTCTGCCCACTGTCAGTGGCTCCATACTCCACCCTAAACTCCACAACCCTCCACTGTCCAGGGTCAGACCCATGAGTCCTATCAGGGAGGTGTGCTCTGTGGTTAATTTACTGCATATCCTACAGCCTGAAATCCAGCAGGGTGGAACAGCACATGACTCCCATTGATGGCTCAGAGTCCCAGGTCACTGGTTTTGCCAGACAGGGGCTGCAGAGAGGGTTATCCCTGTGCTTGTTCCATAGTCTAGAGGTCATCTGACTGTTGGTTGGGCTATGTCACCCCTCCCTCAGCTGGGAGCTTGAGTGGACATTCCAAGTGTGTGCTCTGAGGTGAGCCTGCAGGGTCCCCTGTTACTCTTGCTGCATTCCTTGGCCAAAGTGCACTGGAAGCAGAATAACCGCTGCATCCACACAGCATGGATGTCTCCAAGCTAGTGACACAAGCCATTCTACTGACCAAATCCAGCACTTCCACTGGGAGCCTCACCTTTTGAAGTCTGTGCATTCATGGAACACACATCTATGTGACCAGGAAGCCTCAACTCCCACCTCTCCTTCCCTTCTAACTCCTCTCCACCCATACCACACCACCTGCCCTGCAGTAGGCAGATGCCAAGGCCTGAGTCTCATCCTGAGGGAGGAAAGTCTCAGTGTCAGGTTCACACCTGTTCTGTCACTAGCAGCCCACAGTCAGCCACAGAGGGAACAGGGTGGGAGACCTGGGATCCTCCTCAGTGACCTGGGGTTTTTCTGTTGCTTCTGTAGGTGCGAAACAGTAAAGCCAGTGGCTACTGCTTGGACCAGGGAGCAGAAGACGATGACCGGGCCATCCTCTACCCATGCCATGGCATGTCCTCACAGGTAGGTGGTTCCCAGACCCCACAGTGGAGGGAGTACAGGCACGGGACAGACCACTGAGAGTCCCTGTAAGTTAAGAACAAGATGTTTGGGTCAAACAGACATTAGCAAGTCGCATACTGTCTGATGCCTCAGTTTCCTCATCAGCCAAATGGGACAGTGGGCAGCACTTCTCAGCCAGTCTTGTGGATTGAATGGAAGCTGTGGTGAGGTGTTATCTGGTCTAGACATGATGCAGGAAAGGGAGCTGTGGTTTCTATTATGTTCTTTCCAGCTGAGCCTCACCCTGGAATTTGCAAGCCCAGATCATTTGGAGGCCTGCCAGAACTGGCCTGGGCCTCATGCAGCTCAGGGCTGGGCTTGTTCACACCTCTAGGTGACTAACCCTCTGCCCAATGAGAGCCCCAAGAGTCCTAGTCACTTCTGCTGACAATGCTGCCTCCCAGTGAATGCTGAGCTCAGTAGATCATAGCCCCCTCTACCTTTCCTATAGAGCTCAGGGCCCTCTTTGAACCTGAGCTTCATTCCTGAACATCCATCTGGGCAGATGGCTGGGTTTTTCTGGCTCCAGCATGGAGACAGCCAGTGTCTGCTGATCGCTGGTTAATTTTAGGCTATGAGGTGCCTGCCTTGAGACAATAGTCCAATGGGGGGGTTGCTGTCCTTCATGGTGCCCACTATAGTGGCCTCATTAAGGGCTCTGGACTGACCCCTCCCAGAGGGCAAAAGGGTACTTCAGTGGAGATGTAAATGCTGTTCTACAGTCTTTCAACATCTGTGGATCAGCCCTGGCCGGTACGATTTCTCAGGTCCAGGATAAGACGCTTTGTGTTGATGGGGCCTGAGAACCTGATGAGGCAGGACAAGTCTCATGAGGAACAGAGGGGCTGAATGAGGTGCCATGCCTGTGAAAAGCTCTCTGCCATTAGGGGACAGTGGAACAGGGTGGCAGGATGGATGGGAGGGCCAGGTTGTGTGACCAAGCCCTGCCAGAGAGGTTAGTAGGCCAAGAGCCCTGTTTGAGTAGGATACCACCTGTCCATGATTTCTCTTTATAAACTGGTTGAGTTCAGTCATACACAAATGCCAGAGTTGCTGTGGAGGCTGTAGGAACACTGGGGCCAGCAAAGCTTTGCCCTGGACTGGAAAGCCTTGGGTTCTGTGACCACTAAAGACCACAGGGCAGTGCTGGTTCATGATAGCAGGGACCACTCTCGCAGTCCTGGAGGCCAGAGTCTGATGCCTAAGGCCAGAAATCCTTTTGTCTGCACAAGGGGGCTCCTGAGGTCGAAGCTTGTTTTCTATTTAGCCTGAATGCCCTAGGGCTCAGCAGCCCTGGACTGTGTGACCCAAAACTGCACAGTCAGATTAGGACCCCAGCACACCTGACCATGGGGCCACATTCAGTTCATGACTCAAGGACAGCTTTGGACCACCTGGGGCTATGTGGAGTCCGCTGCTACCCAGTCCACCCCTGAGGCCCAGGTGTTCCCACCCTGTCATGGGTCAGGTTTTACACAGAGTCCCATACCACAGAGGCTGGTCAGCCTATTGCAAAGCTGGGCTGTGCCCTAACCTTGACCTCCCACTCACTCCCAGGATGGGCCTGTCCACTCCTGTCAGCATGGCAGGCCACTAGAAGCAGGTGGCAGGGAGCAGGGATCAGGGTGCAAATAGGCCTCCACTCTCTTGGCCACAGAACAGCTGAAGACACCCCAACAAGGCCCCTGCAGGTGTCATTGACCTTGGAGATACTGATTGCACTCCTGGCTCTGCTCCAGGGGGTAGGATAGGGAAGGGTGTCCTTAGCTCCCAGTCTGTGGCCCTGAATGGGCCTCCTTCCTTGGTGTAGAACTTTTCCAAGGTCAGGGTGCTGGTAACTTGCTTCTGCTCCATTATCTGGGCATTGGAATGTTCCCTTCTCCAGGACTGAGCCAGCAACAGGACCCCAGTCCTAGCCCCTCCATCTACCAAAATCGGATGCCCATGTGGTCCCCAAGCCCAGAGGGTACCTACCTCCTACCTCAGTGCAGACCCAAGGGTTACCTCATGGCCACTGCAGCATCACCTGAGTAGGGGTTTCAGTCATGTGGGGGCCCTGGTCAGCTGTATGTCCAGGGTTTTCTGGGAGGGCCTGGGCAGAGGACGGGCTGAGGTACCTGGAGTCTGAACCTCAGCCCCATTGCTGCCACTGCCATCTCCCCAGCTGGTACGCTACAGTGCTGACGGCCTCCTGCAATTGGGCCCTCTGGGCTCCACAGCCTTCCTGCCTGACTCCAAATGTCTTGTGGATGACGGCCGAGGACGCACACCCACCCTGAAGAAGTGTGAGGATGTGACCAGGCCGACACAGAGACTGTGGGACTTCACCCAGGTCAGTGGGCTGGGCTGATAGCCGGGTCAGCTGCCCCACATGAGCCCTAGAAAGTCAGACTTTGTTGCTGTGACAAATACCTGAGAGAAACAGCTTAAGAGAGGAAGGACCTATTTTGGCTCATGATTCCAGAGATTTTACTATGGTGGCAGAGCAGAACAGCTCACATCATGGTGGGAGGGAAGGGGCTGGGAGAGAGACAGACAGAGACAGAAACGAGAGAGAGAGAGAGAGAGAGAGAGAGAGAGAGAGAGAGAGAGACTACATTTCGCTGGCTTCCTCTCTTTCAATATTTTTTTAGAGAGAGAGAGAGAGAGAGAGAGAGAGAAAAGAGAGAGAGAGAGAGAGAGAGAGAGAGAGAGAGAGAGAGAGAGAGACTACATTTAGCTGGCTTCCTCCCTTTCAACATTTTATTCCAAAGCCCCCAGCCCATGGGATGATATGATGGTATGGATTTGCCAACATGCAAGGGGCATCTTCCTCTATTGAGTTAACCACTCTGGAAACACCCTCACAGACACTGAGGGTCTAAGTCTCCAGGAGGCTGGCTGAGTGGACTGTGAAGACCAGCATGGGGAAACCTGTTGGAAATGCCTCAAGGCAACAGGCTTAAGCCAGAGCCCATGATGTTTGGAAACCACAGGGCTACTGAATATTCAAGGGAACCAAAGGGCACCTGGGAAAAAAGATTGGGGTGGGGACTGGATGTATTCCTGAGACCTCTTTGAACCCCAAAGAACTGAGCAGGGCAGCAGCAGCCTAGCTGATGGGGAAGAAGAGATGCAGATGGGCTAGGGTGATGGGTTCCTTGGTTGGTCTGCATGGTGGCAGTACAGGGACCAGGTTGGGGTTGGGATCATTCCTCATCGGGAAGGTGTCCTGGATTCCCAAGCTAACTCAGTTGCCCCTCCCCTGCAGAGTGGCCCCATTATAAGCCGTGACACAGGTCGGTGTCTGGAGGTGGAGATGTCTAAAGATGCCAACTTCGGGCTGCGGCTGGTGGTGCAGCGCTGCTCAGGGCAGAAGTGGATGATCCGAAACTGGATCAAACATGGGCGGCACTGACCTCTGCCCCCACCCCACCTCCACAGACTCAGACCTTCAGACCCTCGAGTGCTCCAGATGGCGTTGGGCAGGTCCTGGACTGTAGCCAGGATGAACCCTCCTTGCCCACCCCACAAACCCAGAGCAGCTTGGGCCCTACACACCTCAGGGCTGGGCCCTGTAACACTGGACAGCAGAGATCTAGTGTCAGCAGCATCAGCCTGCATTAGGAACCAAACTGTCCTGGGACAGGTGGCTCTGCCTGAGGGAGGACAACAGAGGACAGCGCACACCCATGCCAAATCATGTGCCTTTCTACAGTGTTCCCCAACTGGCTGTGAAGACAGCCACACCCGCATGTGCTAAGGCCCTGTACATAACCCTCAGAAGCAAACCCAGCTGTTTAGTGCTGAGGGTGGGAGTGTTCTCATCATGCCCAGCATCCTGTCCTCCCAGTAGGCCCAGGCCTCACAGCCCAGCTGCCCCTCATTCAGCTGCTCAGCCTCACCACAATCAAAAGCAAACTGAGAGGGCAATTCCCTGTAGTCTGATAACAAGGCAATAGGGAGACATCATAATTGCTCGACCCCATAGACAGACCCAAAGGTGTGTTAGAGACCAGACAATGGCAAATACCTGCACTTGTCTTCCTGAGGGTCAGGCAGGCAGCCACTAGGCAGGGGTCCCAGTTCCACCATCCCACCCTCAGCCCAGGGTGTCTCTTGTTGCTCTGCCATTTCTGCAACAGGTATCATCAGATGATGCCTCCAGCCCCTCACTTGTTTTATAAATAATGTTTTATTGGCACACAGCCACACCTGTTGTCTTGAGTGTCACCTATGACTACAGCATTGGAGTTGCAGAGTGGAGGCTATACTGTATGGCTGGTAAAGCCACTCTTATTGTCTTGAATTCTAGGACTCACTTCCAAATGCCTTTGCTAAGATGCATCCACTCACATGGTCCAAGAAAGCTGGCCTCACTGTATTGTTGCCCAGCTGACTAGGGGGAAGACAGATGTGGAGGCAACAGCCTGGGAGCTGGTTGTCTCTGCTCTGGTCCCTGCTGTCAGACCTCAGTGTCATAGCCATGTTTATCCACTGCCCAGGAGGCTGGGAAATGTGGTCTCTCATTGAGCAGCTGTGCATGTGGATGAAGAATTATATGAACATGGCCAGTGACCTCGCAGACCTTGACTCCAGGACACAGTGGCCAATCCTGTTCTGTTTACAGTCACTGTCATTCATAGCCATTGACCCGTCATCACAGCACCAACAATAAGCACTGGCAGGGGCCACACAGACCTGGCAGCTGGAGGTACATGCTTAGGGCAAGACTCTGGCTGCAACTGCCACCCTAGGACTTTAACCATTCTAGGGCTACCAAACCCATCTTAGCCTGATACGTCCCAACTAACAGCAAGAGCAACTTGCTCCTCCAGGAGGACATGGACTGCCTATCCCTTATCATCCACCAGATGTCAGAACTTACCACTCACTGATGCCAGCCAAAAGCCAGCCAGCCCTGCCTACCAGAGGCCTTCTGACCCCTCTAATGGCCTCACAGAGGTGAAACTGTGGGCTCTGCTGACTCCCCTGTACCCCTCTGCAGGGTCAGCAAGAAAGGGTGGTTTCTATATAGCAGAGCCTGCATCTGCCACAGCCCTGTCCACATCTGCTTTAACCAAGCATCCCAACCTTCAGATGGGCCTGGCAGTCCCTCTCTCAACATGCCTCTCTCCAGGAGAGGAGGTGTCACTACCTCATCCTGATCAGGACACCAAGTCCAGGAGGTAAACTGCCCCAAGGACCAGCAAGAAGTGGGCTTGCTTTCTTGCTGCCCTGGCAGGGGCTGAGCTCCACAAATCCAAGAGATGCTGAACTGTCTCCAGAGGTGCATCATGCTGTGCTCTTACCCTGGGGGAGATACAGGACACATATATCCGTCCCCCTTCCCCAGCCTCTGTGGGACCCCAGCACATGGTCCCTCTTGTCTTCTCCCTCCTGGGAGACCCTGAACACCTCCCACCCTATAGTTGTGAGAAATGTGGGCCTCAGTTTCTCATTCTGAGCAGGGGCTGTCACCATCCTCCAAACCAAACATAAGGAGCACTTCCTTCTGGTCCAGATCTTTCCTGAGTTCTCAGTGGAGGACATAGGAGGATGCATGAGCAGGGCCCTAGGAGTGGATCCACAACCCCAGCATTCCCAAAGTGAGTGTATGATGATACTGGTATCCATTAGTGCACAAACATGGCCTGTGACTTCACATGGAGAATGTCATGGGCTCATTGTGGCACTGCCACAATTCACCTGCCAGGAAGGCTGACAGCCAAAGGAAGCCACCACACTGTAGCCACATAAGATCTCACAGAAAACTATCTTCAAACCTCAGTAAATCCCCCACCTGTCTCCCTAAGCACCTCCCAAGATGGGCTGTGAGGTGGGGCCAAGGCGGGTCCACACAGCAGTGTCTATATCATTTCACTGGTCTGAGTGGCTCCAACTTAAAAGAGTACCTGCTTCACGAGATACATTTCATCCCCCACAGCCCTCACCTGTTGTTTTCAACACCTACCTGCCCAAGAATCCCAGGGGGCAGTTTAGGTTAAAGATAAGGAAAGAAGTGGGTTGGGAGGCCACTACTCTAGAGCTTATTGCTATGTAGTATGTCTGTAGTTAGCACTGGTCACAGCTGGAAGGATGTCCTTGCTGGCTCAGACCCACCCTGCCCCCAGAGATGTCCCACACTGGGACTTTGCTTTCATTTCCTGAATTCACGGTGACACATGGCATGCATATGCATTGACTCCTCAACTATAAATCTTGGGCTCAGAATAACATCAAAGATCACTATGAGCTGTGCAGAAGCCAGCTAGGGGTAGGAGAAGAGAGTAAAGAAAGAAAAAAGGAGAGAGAGGGAGAAGAGAAGAAAGAAGAAACAAAAGGAAGCTGTTTGTATTGAGTGAGATTCAGTTCTCCAATCTCACTTAGTGATAGAACACCTGGCTCCATGTTTAAGGATGTACAAGCAGAGGTCAGAGGGGAAAAGTGACTAGGCACAAAACACCCACCATCATGGGGCACACAGGGGTTACCACCTCTCTGTGACCCCAAACTGGCTTCCTTCTATCCTGTGTGGCTGTCTTGTATGGTTTTTTTTTTCTTTTTAGAGGATAGCCATCCTTTAAATGGCAATAATCGAATAATTAGTACTTAATAAGACTGAATGGCAGCCCACTTCTTTCATTAATTCAATTATAAGTTGGCTTCTCTGCAAATTTGGGAGAGTCCATGCCATCTCTGCAGCTCCATGAGGAAGGACTGCAACGTGGAGGGACTGGGGCCTCTGGGAGGAGCAGTGAGCCTTGCCTCCTCCACTGTGGCAGATTTCACTCAGGTGGAAGTCAAGAAGATAAGGCAGCCTTGGGGCATGCCATGGGGTGCAGCACCTCTAAAGAACAGATGCTGGTGCCCCATCTCTCGCTCATAAAGAACAGCTGCCTGCTGGAGCTTGCTGAGGGGTAAAAATGTGTTACAACCCTACATCCCTGGAGTGGGTTGTTTTTAATTTGCTTCTGGTTATATGTTTTTTAAATTCCTGCAAGGACATTTTCTCATTTGTCCCTAAGTATTTATTCCACACCTGCTGCCTATGGAGCACTGTTCCTGGAACCAGGATGCAGTCCCAGAGGAACAGGCTGTACCACTCCTATCTGCTACCCCTAGGCTGGGTCTCAGCCTGTGAGATGTGGTAGCAAAATGGAATTTGTGGTGACTGTCATAGTTTGTTTCTTCATTGCTGTGACAAAATACTCTGACCAAAACCATCTTGGGGAGAAAAGGGTTTATTCAGCTTACATCTCCCGGGTCACAGTTCATCAAGGAGTCCAAGGTAGGAACTTAGGGCAGGAACCTGAAGGCAGGAGCTGGAGCACAGGCCACGGAGGAACGCTGCTTACTGGCTTGCTCCCTGGCCCCTGTTCAGCCTGCTTTCTTGTGCAACACAGGCCCACTTGCCCAGGGGTGGCACCACCCACAGTGCACTGGGCTCTCCCACATCACTCAACAATCAAGAAGACGCCCCACAGACATGGCCACAGGCCAGTCCTATGGCGGCAATTCCCCAGTTGAGGCTCTCTCAACCCAGGTGTGTCAAGTTGACACTAAAGCTATCCAGCACAGTGACAGATAAGTTTTAGCAAAACATCAGTGCAACAACTGTGGAGTGATCCTTAGAGACAAGGGGAATCCCACTGCCAAGGAAACCAGAGACCAGATCAGTGCCAAGCAAGGCCTTGTGGTAGGCATCTGCTCAGCATAGCCAGGAGTCAAGTGGTGGGGGACAAGCGAGAGGAGGGGAGTGGAGAAGGGCCAGTGCAGAGGTAGAGGCTGCTAGTACCTTGAGAGCCTGTGGATGTTAAAGGACAAGGAAGGCTGGGGTCAGAGCAAAGTCACTTATTTGTTTCCTGGAAGAGTCCCTATTATAGGTTGATCAAGGTTCCAGGGAAGAGGGACAGAGAGGCCCCACTGGGTCACTGCTGTGGAGCAAGGTTGGTGGTCATGTCAAGGTAGCAGGTGGTGAGCACGGTGAAAATCCAGCAAGGGTTTGCTGTGTGTGGTCCAGAGTGGAAAGGCTCAGAGTGGGTAGGAAGGATAGTGAGAGGTTTCAGGAGGGGGTAGTTCTAGAGGCACACTGAGGGGCTGGAGAGATGGCTCAGCAGTTAAGAGCACTGGCTTCCCTTGCAGAGGATCTGGATTTGGTTCCCAGCACCCACATGGTGGTTAATAACCATCTGTACCTCCAGTTCCAAGGGATCTGACACTCTCTTCTGACCTCCACGGGGCATTGCACAACACAGGTACACTTTCATACATGCAGATGGAACACTCATACACATAAAACCAAAATAATAAATAAAAAAGAGGGACACTGAGATGGATTACTGGGGATTACAGAATTTATTAGAAGAGTTGTTAATGCCATAGACAGACAGACAGACAGACAGACAGATAGACAGGCAACAGCATGTCAGGGGCTTCAAGGAATTTCAGGCCTCAGTGCCAAGGTGAGATATTCTGGCTCCTGGATGTCAATTAGCTAGAGATTGCCTTAGTAGGTGTCTTAGTACTAGTAGAATCTGTGAGCAGCAATCAGATCCTAACATTACATTCTTACAGGGGAAGTAGCTCGGTGAAGGTGGGGGACAGTGGAGCACAAGATTGATGGGAGTGCGTAAGTCTGTAGGTCAGAGCTTTGGGGAGGGGTCAAGGCTGGGATCAGTGGCATCTGAAGATATTAAACTAGGAGGTGATCAAGCTGGGGTCTCTCATCTCAGGATGGAGGAAAACTGAGGGCCCAGTGAGAAGGGCAGAAAGCAGGATTACTGGCCAGATGGACAGGCCAAGCGTCCTGCTGCTTGCATTCTGCAAGTTGCAGGGCAAAGCCAGGTTAATGTGGGCAGGCTCTGAGGAAGGATGATTCATCCTCCAGCTGTAGATGGCTTGAAGCCATCATCCTTGTTCTGTGGATGCCTTCCCGCCTCTGCCTCCCTCTGCAAGTAGCTGCTCCTTGCGGTCTCTGCTTATTAGGACAGTCATACTGGACAAAGTCACACCTCTTTGAGTGCTTTCTGGGTGATTAGTAAAAGTCTGTGGTTATTAACACCCCCCCCCAGTAGCAATAGCCCTTGGGCCATGGGGAGCTCAGCCTCAAGAGGAGATGAGGTAAGGAGTCCTGAGATCTGGAACACAGCTGGAAGTCAGGGGGAGAGGGCTAGCAGTGTTTGGCTAGGTGACCTGGTGACCAGACCACCTCAAAAGGCACCTCCAGGACTCTCATGACACAAAAAGCTGCCGCTGCACAGACCCCAAATTCCTAGGCACAAATGGCAGCAAAAGTCAGGTCGACTGGGCAGTGGGCAAGTACAGAGTTAGTGCTGTGTACCTGAATCTGGAGGGTTAGGGGTCATTTCCACAGTAGCTCTCCAAGACCAGTATCTCCCTGTGCCTGTCGTTCTCAGCAGGTAGGCCCAGGTGCATCAATTACATTGTTGTTGCTGTGACAAAATACCTGACAGAAGCAACTTAAGAAGGGTTACTTTGGCTCACAGTTTGAGGGTGCAGTTCATCGTGGTGGGGAAGGCATAGAGGGAGGAATGTAAGGCAGCTGGTCACATGTGTCCACAGTCAGGACCAGAGAGAGATAAATGCTGGTGCTCAGCTCTCTTTCTCATTTTCATTCAGTCCAGCACCTCAGCCCATAGGATGGTGCCACGCACATCGGAGTGGGTCTTCCTACCTCAGTTAAACCTTTCTGGAAACTTGCTCACAGACACTCAGAAGTGTGCCTCCTAGATGATTCTAAAACCAGTCAAGTTGTCAATTGAGATGAACCACAATCAGGTCATGAACAAGAGACCATCTGGGCAAACAATTAATTGGTTCTTGCATCTTAAACCCCAAGAGGCTGCTATGTCCTAGAAGCATCTGATTTTCTCAAAAGAAATAACGGCTCTTCATGAGGTGGCAGGCCAGTCTTCTGAGTCTCCCCACAGCATTCCAAAAGCCTGCAGTATGCATGGGAACCTCGGATGCCCCCACCAGTTTCCATGGTCAGACCCCAAATATTGATGATGCCCTAGGTTTATGGACACTGTTGCAGAGGAGGCTGCATCACAGGATGGGGGAGAGGCCTCACAGACAAAGCAGAGGGAAATCAGTGTCTCTGTGGGTGACTACACAGAACTTAAATGAGGGCCCAGGCTGTCATAGGCCTAGGGACACCTCAGACTGAGTGCCATACCTGGCCTCCCCTACAGGCAAGGACAGCACCCTGCCAGGTTCCAGGTAAACATCCTGAGAAAAGAGCCCAGGAATGTATCTTCAACCTCAGCATCAGTGGAGGCATCGCACATAAAAAAGGCTCTGCCAGGGCCCTGTGAGGAGCAGAGCCCACTTCAGCTAGGGACATGGGCAGTTCGATGAAGTCACAGTGATAGGTCACAGTTCTTGCTCTGCCCAACATCCAAGAGGCTGAGCAGCCCAGAACAGCCCAGGTGCCACCTAGGGCTTTGTGGGCAGAGGACACTGGCCATCCTCTCCAGCAGGTAGGAGCTCCATTCAGGCACTTAGAAACCCACAGAGCTCCTGGAGACCCAAGCAATGAAGACCAAGAAGCCACATTGTGTGTGGGGTCAGCAGCACACTCCTAGCTGCAGCAGCACAAAAGTCTTCATTCCTAAACACCTAAGGCCATTAGGCAGTAACACCTGCTATTCAGCCTTGAAGTGAGAATGGCCACCTGCTTTAACTCCAACAGGACTGCAGCTGCTTCCTGCTGTTTTAAGGACCTCACACCAGTGTCTCCTCACACCAGTTTCTCCCAATCCCCACACCAGACTCAGGGTGAGCACAAGGGAACAGCAGTGACAAATCCCACTGGGCATCTGGGACCCAAGTGGCACCCAGGCTCCCTGGGAGTTATCTCCCTGTGCCCATCCTCCACCCTGAGAGGTGCACCATGTGCCATATCACCTTTCCTATCCCACTGGAGACCAGCTGAAAGCCTTGAGACCTCCCATACTGGTGTGTGGGGCTGCCATAGAAAGAACTATACACTACATAATCAGAACAACAGGAATGTGGCCTCTCCAAGATCCAGAGGCCAGAATCCTATTGAGAGGTGGGCAGGGCCAGGCATTGCTAGAGGTTCCAGGCAGGACCCTTGGGCTTCGTCCCACTTCCAGGGCTCAGGGGCTGTCTTTTGTTTGTGGCTGTGCCACTCCAATCTTCATTGTCATGTTGTCTCTTTCTGTCTCCTTGGGGGGGGGTGTCTCCTGTCCTCTCCTGTCATAAGGACAGCTGTTTCTGGATTAGGGCCCACCCTGTTCCACTCTGAACTCTGTTCACAGTACTTCTGTAAAGATACTATTTCTAAACACAATCTTGTTCTGAGGGACTGGTGGACAGGAATTTTGGGAAGATAATACATTTATCTTCTCATTTTGGAGACAAGCCCAGAAACTTTCCTGAGCTCACAGAGGAACCAAACAGTTTTCAGAGTCAAGAGTGAGTGCAGTGGCTACGTGCTCTGGTCCTGGTGAATCTCATCCCTCACATGATAGTGATGACCTGACATCAAGTCCCCTCTGACTATGATATCAACACTGACATCCATGGTCAGGTCTGGTGTCCCAATTCTATACCCCAACCACT